AGTAGCTGGTCCCCAGGACCAGCAGATGGCGTAATGGCTACATCACTGGACTCTCATGTAGTCGACCGGGGTTCGAGTCCCAGATCTAGTGTCTTAAGCTCATGCCGGGTGCGTGTGCGTGCATGCCCAAGATCTGGAGAGGAGAATGGAGGAGAAGGGATTGTGGCGTTGCCATCCCCCCGGGGGGTGATTTCTCACTTTCTGTCTCTCTGTCTTTCTGGAGAGCGCATGCACCCTATAGCAAAAAAAAAAAACTCTCTCCAAAAAATGAAAGAAAAAGTATACCTAATCCTGTCATTTTCCCCTCACATTAGGCCTGGCAAAGCCTCACCAAATCAAACCCAGCAGCACATGACTCAGTTGCAGCAGTTGCCCCAGTAATGCGCTGAGACAGGACGCCTGCTACCGTGAGCAGTAACGCAAAGCTTCTGGACAAAAAGCAATCATCCCACGCCGCTCTTTACCTGAGGTGACAGAAGGGATCTTGCAGCTGGAGGTGATGCGGTAATATGGCGGGTTGTCCATGTGGGTGACCCCGGCGCTGACGGGGTCGGTCAGCTGGAGCTCACTCACCAGCTCTTCGAGCAACTGCACTGTTTTGTCTCTGCCCAAGTACACGATCACCTTCTTCACCTGTCACAGAAGAAATCGCTCAGAAAAACAACTTTACTTTTATACACTTATCGTTTGTCGTAAGGTGAATTTTATGGAAGCTCAACCCATAGGTAGATAAGCACAACCTAAATTTGAATAGCCACTGATGAGCAGTAAGACGTTAATCAGCTTCATCCGTTCTGTCCTGCCCTCTAACCCTCGTCGTCAGATATAACAGGGATGAACTTACTGCACTTTTTAAAAAAGATTTTTTTAGATGTCTTTGCATAGGGTGGGCGTGCTCAGTGAGCGAAACAGAGACAGAAAGAGTGAGAAACCACTCGCCCCTCTCGGAGGGATGGCCATCTCACAATTCCTTCTCCTCTATTCTCTTGGGATTTGGGGCACAGGTACGTGTGCATGGGTGCCTGCTGTCATTTTCAAGCTGCTGGGTCCGGGACTTGAACTGCAGTCAGCCACGTGGGAATCCAGCACCTTAACCTCCACGCCACCTGCTGGCCCCATAACTCTACTGTTTTAATGGCTTCTAGAATCTTACGCACTTCCTTTACTTTTTTGTCTTTATTTCTTTACAGCAGAAGAAAATCTGTTTTTCTATTACAGTTTCTTTTATAATGGTAAAACTTATGGGTAATATCATCCTAAGACTTTCTTCTGATTTTCAGTCAGTCAGCAATCAAACCCAGGATTTATTTATTTTCGTTTTTTGCTATAGGATATTTGCATTCTCCAGAGAGAGGGAGACACAGAAAGAAAGAGAGGGAAAATGAGAAATCACCTCCCACCCCATGGTGGATGGTCACACCATAATCCCTCCTCCATTTTTCTCTTAGGATTTTTTTAAAAGTAATTATTCATTTAATTTTATTTATTCATTCATTCATTTATTTAAAGTTGACCAAAGAGAGAGACACAGAGAGAGAGAGAGAAAGTGAGAAAGCAAGCCAGGTCTGGGACTTGAACCGTGGTCAGCAATGTGGGAGTGTCAAGTGCATTAACCACCACGCCACCTGCTGGTCCCCCTCTTGGGACCTTGGGCACACACACACATGTGCCTGGTGTGTTTCCCAAGCTGCCGGGTTTGGGACTTGAACCGTTCAGTCAGATGTGTGGATCCAGCCTCCTTCACCACGCCACTGGCTGGCCCTAGGATTTATTTCTGACTCTGCCTTTACCATTTTCTATATTCGACCCAGCAGTATAGGGTAGTGGTCAGAGCAAAGAGCTGGAGCTGAACTAGAATGCCTGAGTGCAAAGCCTGGACGGGAACGTGGCTCTGTCTACCCTCGCCGTGCCACCTGCAAGGCCGCTCTTGGCTTTCTCGTCTGCAGAATGGGCTAGTAAGGACGCCTGCCTGAAGGGGCTGCGAGGAGAGAGAGCTGGGATCTGGGCGGCAGGAGCGCGGCATCCCCGTCAGCCCCGTGCCCTGTGCCTACATGCTAGCCCTGCGTGTTCCCGAAAGTGCTCGCTGACTCCCCTGCCTCCTCTAATCTTTACTACTCGAAATGTGGTCACCGTGGCCTGAGGCCTGTTGGGAATACAGCCTCTCAGGCCCTACCTCCGCCCTCCCAGTCGGAGCCAGAACAGGAGCCTGTGCTGGTTCACGTGCACCAGACAGGAGAGGCCTCGCTTCCAGCGATCCACTCAGACTTGGAACATGCTGTGTCCATTGCACAAGCGCGTCCTGGGGTCTCCCAGTGACCAGGGCCCTCCCGCCCCCTACTCCGCTGCCAGCGGCGCCACCTCCCAGCCGCTCTGTCCCGAGGATCCACCTTCTCTGGACGTGCGCCCTGCATCCCTGCCACGGAGCCTTCGCGGGGCCTGGCCAGCCTCTGCGCTGTCCAACCCTAACCCACCGAGGGCCGCCCCTGCTCCACTCCCTTCTCTGTGGGACTTGCGCTGCCCTTTCGGTGTGACCCCAGCTCTCTTCAGTGCCAGGGCTGTGGGGGTGACTGTGAGGAAGTGACTCCTCTCTCTGTCATGGTTTGGTCATCTGTACAACTGCCAGTCTGAGAAATTCACAGATTTATTCTGGTAATTAAATGAAGTAAGATGAAGCACCGTAGCTGGTCTATAATAAGCACTTAAGAAATGATGATTAGTGGGACCAGCAGTTGGCGTAATGGCTGTGTTGCTGGACTCCCATGTAGTCGACTGCGGTTTGCGTCCCAGACCCGGTGGCTTAAAACTCATGCCGGGCACATGTGCATGCGTGCCCAAGATCCCGAGAGGAGAATGGAGGAGAAGGGATTGTGTGGATGACCATCCCCCCTGGGGGTGATTTCTCGCTTTCTCTCAGTCTCTGTCTTTCTGGCGGGCACATATGCCCTATAGCAAAAACCTCTCAAAAAAAAAATGGTGATTAGGAAATTATTGATATTTAAAACTCTTGGTCACTGGCTACTTCCCAAATTTCATCCCAACCTGTTAAGTTCTAACCCCGCACTTCTCGCTCCAGTACAGCTCGCACCCTCATTCGTGCACTAAATGGCACTCCTGTTGCGGCCCGCTCTCTCACTGGGGCTACAGCGATCATCCCATCGGGGTGTTCCCCACCTCCGTGCAGGCCAGAGACAGAACTGCTCTGCTCTGAAGGAGCGCGTCTATCGGCTCGAGGCAGAAGGAGAGGCCATGTCCAGTACACATGGTCACGTGCCAGGAAGCCCATGAAGACTGGAAAGGAAGCGCATTGAGGCGTGTGGGGGGCCTTGCCGTTTAGACAGGACAGCCAGTGAGAGTCTCAGAAGTGACCCTCGAGGAGTGTGGATGAAGTAAAGCCCGAGGGGAAGGTCTGGCATGAGAACAAGGCAGAGGGTAAGCATGGCTGCAGGGGGTGGAACATGGGGGGGTGTCGGGGTACCAGGAGGTGGCGGGCCACACACCACCTCCATCAGCGCTCTTGAAGAACGTGGACCCCGGGACCTGCCTTTGGAACAATGCTGTCCGTGATCAAGTGGACGCTGGACACTGGCTAGGGCGAAGCCCCCACGGTGGGCCTGAGCGGGGCTGCATGGGGGCTGTGAGCTCCTGTCTGTACACTGGCCTTCTGGGGACACCCCACTCCACGGCCCTGCTCCGGTGCTGGTCTCTCCAGAGCCCACTCTCAGCTCCGACGGCTGTGGCTCCTAGCTACCCACTCGGGACTCGCAGTCTCCTGTGAGGCCCTCACAGCTGCACTCTGAACTCACTGACCCAGTCACGAGGTCGATCAGCTGTCGGGTCAAAGAATACAGTCGGCCTCGGCCACCCGCCCGACGCCCAGATGTGGAGGTGCTGGTCTGGCAGTGCTGAGTTCTCTAGGGCGAGCGTAACGCCCAGATGTGGAAGGTGCTGGGTTATCCAGGGTCCAAAACCCAATCATTTCTGAGCACAGACGTGATGGCATGAGTGGCCATCTCCATGCCTGGCTCCAAGTCACGAGCTGCAGCGATGCGAAATGACGTGGAGGGGTGGCCCTGCCGAGGGGTGGGCAGCGGGGTGCCATCTGCAGTGCCAGAGCCACGCGAAGGCCGGGCTGAGGATCCCAGACCCACCCAAAGCACATCAGAAGTGCATGCCTGAGGACCAGACTAGCCAGGAGGCCGGAGGGGTCATGGCGGCATGAGACCCCACCCGGGGACCTGTGTGTTTGGCCCCTCTCCCGTGAAATAAATAAGTCAACTACAAAACATTCCTGTCAGGCTGTAAAAGACATACACGAGACATAAATGGGTTCTGTGTAAACTCGGGTCCACGTCCAAGATATCTCAGTATACATATGCAGCTATTCCAAAATCAGGAAAACCCAGAAACCTGAACTTAGAAACCCTTCAGGCCCCAGGCATCTGGAGTAAGGGACCCTCAGCCTGCACCTGTTCCATGGATCGGTGGGGGAGTTGACCCTGGGACCTCCCGCTGCCCATACTCTGACACAGAAGGCACCTGCTCTCATGTCTATAACCGTATAAGTTACAGGAACTCCAATACGTACGTAAGGCAGGAGGCTTGGTTCACTATTCACCCCACAGATGCTGATGAGAAAGTGCAGGATTATCTTCAGGTTTTTCGGCCAGCCATCTGCGAGCGTGGTCCACACGTTCTCCACCTCCGACCAGGCCAGTTCGTCACCGTACTGGACACAGGGCACAACCACACGCTTCGGTAATGCGGCCCAGCCTTGTCACAGACGCTTTCATCTCTTACACATGTGAATAAAGAACCACGGAGGGACCAGCAGCTGGCGTAATGGCTATATTGCTGGACTCCCGTGTAGTCGACCATGGTTCGAGTCCTGGACCCGGAGGCTTAAGCTCACACTGGGTACGTGTGCATGAGTGCCCAAGATCCGAGAGGAAAAGGGATTGTGGCATGGCCATCCCCTCTGGGGGGTGATTTCTCGCTTTTTGTGTCTGTCTCTTTCTGGTGAGCACATGCTAAAACCTATAGCAAAAACCTCTCAAACAAACAAACAAAAATCACCACATCTTTTACTAAAGCTAAACATAAATATCACTAATCACATATGGGTTTACTAAAAAACAAAAAGAAGAGATATTTTATAATAGAGGAGTTTCTTTAAATAAAGAAACATATATGTATTTTTGTCTTTTCTCTTTTTTTTGAGAGAGATTTTTGCTATATGGCACGCATGTTCACCAGAGAGATAGAAAGTAAGAAATCACCCCCTAGGGGGAACGGCCACGCTGCAATCCCTTCTCCTCTATTCTACTCTTGGGATTTTGGACACACAAACACACACACACACACACACACACACACACACACACGTGTGCACGGTGTGAGTTTCAAGCTGCCGGGTCTGGGACTTGAACCGTGATTGGCCATGTGGGAGTCCAGGAATGTCACCATTATGCCATCTGCTGGCCCCATGGAAATGCGTACTGCATTTTAATTTGGCTGACAGAACTGTTTCTAACCACGCTCATTTCCCTAACTCGGTAATTCTGCACAGTAAGTGCCAATGCCAAGCCCGCTCACCTTCGCTGTCATGTACATCAGGTTGTTTAAAACCATTGCGGTGGCCTGGGGGGACCCCCAGCCTTCTCCCCGTAACCAGCGCCGGCTGGTGACCATGAGCTCTCGGTCCTTGAGGGACTCGTCATCGTCGTCCTCGTGCCGCCGGGCTGTGGGCAGCGGCTTCAGGTCCACCAGCTCGATGTTGTTCATCCAGGGCAGCAGGTAGTGCAGCATGACCTGCCGGCCCGCGGGGTGCGCCGTCTGGATCCGCTGGCTGATCTCTGCAACCAGACAAAGCCGACAGGGCTGCTACGCCCTGGGTCCCACTGCTCCACAATCAAGCCCAACGTCTTACAGAGCAGGAAGCCAATTTTTTTTTTTTTAAGGTTCTTGCCATAGGGTGTGTACACTTGCCAGAGAGCAACAGAGAGAGATGGAGAGAGACAGAGAGAAAAATCACCCCGTGGGGGGATGGCCACGCTGCAAGCCCTTCTCCGTTCTCCTCTTGCTTTGGTTTAGTTAAAATTTTCTAAAAGTAATTTTACAGAAATGAGTGCCGAAGGACAATCCTGGCCAACGTCGAGGTCATACCTGAGAATATGGCGAGCGTCAGCTCCGGGTACGCCCTGGCCAGCTCCTCGGACAGCTGATAGTAGGAGACTGAGTACAGGTGAGGCAGCGGGGAGAGCTGGCTGAGCGCCCCGTCCGGCCTCTGCAGCTCCAGTCTGTGAGCGTAGCGAAACATCTTCGGTTCCAGAATCTACGGGATGTAACCCCCTCAACTTAAGATCTTACGGGTCCTCTAAAGTTCAGCTATAATTTAAAAATCAAAAACAAACTCAAAGAACTTCTCCCAAGACATAGTCCAGCTAAAAGATGGCATGGTTGTGTATATGATAAAGGATTTTAGATGTTAACTTAGCCCAGGAAATGTTTGCAAACGATTCTTTAACTGCTTACAAAGATTCTTATGTTTAATGCCAGTGATCCAAAGTTGGAAGCTTACTTTGAAAATAATTTCAGCAACATGATATACAATTACTTAAAAAAGTCACCAGTTTTCCAGCTCAAATTAGGATCATATAAAATATGTATAAGTTAAAAAGAAAAACCCAAATTTTCAAACAGATCTTGGCAAATCACAGATTAAATGTGGAATATAAGCTAAAAATCTTTCTGACGTTAATCGTATCAAGGGTTAAAGTCCCGAACTTCCCTCTAAATTAATACAGGCGTTAGGGTAGAATGCCCAAGATGGCCCCCCCAGCATCAGCCCAGCGCAGCTGTTGGAAAATCCGCAGCTACTTGAATTCTATTCTTAGCTCTTGGTTGAGAATGAAGACCCTTGCCCTATTACCAGCTAAATATTACAAAATAATGATATACCCATTATAAGTTCGGTTAGCTTTCTAAGTTATTTCTTCTCAATCTAAAAAGGAAAAGTTCTATGCGATCGTTGTAAAAGGGCGAACTGCCTTCCACGCAGGTCTCAACGAAGACATGGGACACGCGACCCTCGTCTGCTGGCCAGGGACAGTTCCATGTACACACGGCCCCCACTGCTCAGTAATTGTAAGTCCTTTCACACACAGACACACGCACGCACATGAATACACGGACTCCTTTCACACAGAGACACACGCATGCACATGAACACACGGACTCCTTTCACACACAGACACACGCACGCGCATTAACACATGGACTCCTTTCACACAGAGACACACGCATGCGCATTAACACATGGACTCCTTTCACACAGAGACACACACATGCGCATTAACACACGGACTCCTTTCACACACAGACACAAGCATGCACATGAACACATGGACTCCTTTCACACAGAGACACACGCACGCACATGAACACATGGACTCCTTTCACACACAGACACACGCACACGCATTAACACATGGACTCCTTTCACACACAGACACACGCACGCACATGAACACACGGACTCCTTTCACACACAGACACACGCACGCACATGAACACACGGACTCCTTTCACACACAGACACACGCACGCACATGAATACACGGACTCCTTTCACACAGAGACACACGCATGCACATGAACACACGGACTCCTTTCACACACAGACACACGCACGCACATGAACACACGGGCTCGTCTCACACACAGACACACGCACGCACATGAACACACGGACTCCTTTCACACACAGACACACGCACGCACATGAACACACGGACTCCTTTCACACACAGACACACGCATGCACATGAATACATGGACTCCTTCCAGGGTACACCTCTGAGTAGACTATACTATTTCTCGATTTTAATATCCATAGTATCTGTGTTCTATTTCTAACGACAATCAGGACTTGATATCACACCTCACTATTAAAAACTAAGCTAATGAGTAGGATCAGTATGCTTTCCTGGCAAGAATAAATTAACGGGCTTCATTAATCCTAAGCCAAAAAAAATATGTGAATTCACATCTGTTTACAAACCTGTAAAAGCTGCATAGCAACTTCATAGATACTTCTAGAAGAATCAGCTGCTTTAAACAATATCAGATTTAGGAGCATCACTGTGTCGCACTGGTAATCCCTAGGGACAGATTTTACACGTTAGGTAAATGACGTTTGGGGGGTTCGCACCAGCTCACACATAGGACACACAGGCCAGGCTGGAGGCGAGAATCTTCTAAGCCTGAGAGGTGACTTAGGACGTCTAAAGCCACAGATACTACAACAGAGGCCCGGTGACCACTACCCTTACTTGGGGTCAATTCCAACAGAGAGCTTAAGGACAGAAAATACTGGCTTCTTTGAATTTCGGAATTCCAAAGGAAACATTTTCTTTTATAAAAAGAGCGCAAGACAGGAGAGCCCGCGGTCTCTGGGGTACCTGTTCTGGAACACATTGGCTATGGCTTTGAAGCAGCCTGCCGCCACCCTGGAGGAGCCCGTGTAGCACCGGTCCACGGCCCAGTACAGCAGGCTGCTCTGGTCGGGGTTCAGCTCCAGCAGCAGCGTCACGGCCTCGCAGCCCAGCTGATGGACCTGGGGGTGGCGCCCGGACAGAGAAGGGGTGGTTACTCGTCTACTCCCCACGTCCTTACTTGAGTGCAGCGTGTTTATTTACTGCATTTAGTCGCAAAATCCGGTCTCCTTTTGTTAGCTCCTTCTGGGCCATGCAGCGCGCAGGACAGTGACTTGCGTAAATTCCACCTGACCTCTGGTTTTGGACACGGGACTCCTCAGAACAGTCTCCCTTCCAGCAGAGCCTCAAGGGCAGCGGATGAACGGTGTGTGAGCAGTGATGAAGGCTTTCAAAAGGTTGAGCCATTCACATCTCTAATGATTTTTATCAAGCTTTATTCTTGTTTTTGACAACCCCATGGAAAAATTATTTGGAGAAAACAAAATGTAAGTCCCATTTTAGACTAGGAAGCCTGTCCCTGCGGCGTGAGAGTGCACAGGGATCGACTGCTGGAGAGCGATGGAAACATGAGGTTGGGTCTGGTCCCTGCACTCAGGCCGGCTGTGGGGGCCCACGTTCCACTGCCCACTCCCCCACAATGGCCAGGTACTCCGGGAGCCCGAGGCAGGAGGACTGGCAGCCCGCAGACCCCGTGGGAACATAGCAAGCCTGTCTGGAAGAGCCAGTGCCTGAGTGCCAGCTCCTTGGGAGAGGAGGCAAGAGGACCACATGGTGAGACCCTGTCGAAATGCAAACACACAGCGGCCAGCAGGTGGCATGGTGCTTAAGGTACTGGACTCCCACATGGCCAACCACTGTTTGAATCCCAAACCCATCAGCTTGAAAACCACACTGTGCACATGTGCGTGTGTGTCCAAAGTGCCGAGAGGGGAACGGAGAAGGGACTGCGGCAGCGTGGCCATCCCCCCGGGGGCTGAATTCTCACATTCCCTCTCTCTGGTTCGTACACCTGGCCTATGGCACAAAAAAAAAAAAGGAAAAGAAAAGAAAGAAAAAAAGCAAACATACAAATGGATAAAAAAGATACATCCTCCACATCCACCCTCCCATACACATTTCTTCCATGGAGCTCAATATATTCTATTTTAACATTTATTTATAGATTTAGAGGTCTACTGAGAGAAATATACATCCAGTGCAATAATCCCACAATATAAAAGGGAAATTACAATGATTCAAATGAGTAATAAATCTTAGAACTTTCTTATAGTAGCACATTTAACTTTACATCCTACACATTTTTGCACACAACTCTATCTCACTAAAAAAAGAAAAAAAAAAAAAGTCTGCAGGGTCATACATTAACCCTAAATAACGTGATGACAACTTGCAATTTTACAGGAATGGTCAGAATTACCTTTTTGTCCAGAGAGTCCAAAATGTTATCCAGCCATTTGTACAAATAGCCATCGGAGGAGAGTCCTACGTTGTCGGCAACGGGGCCACAGCACAGCACAGCAGACATGGCCTTCGGACAGTAATGAGAGCTACGTTAAAGCGCGCGGGGCCCGCCGGCCGCTGCTCAGCGAGAAGAGGCAGGCGTTTCTGCTCACGCTCGCCTAGCCACGACGGCCTTAAGTCTCTTTTCAAAGAAAATTGTAATTTTTTAAAACTAAGACATGTCTGATGAGCAAGTAAATATCATGATACCGAGTTAGACAAGGAGCTTGAACAGTTCTGGAAGAGAAGATGAAAAAGACCAGGAGAAAGTACTCAAGAAGGAAAAAAGAACAGGTATTTCTCTGGGGCTGTCCTTAGTTCTTTAAGAAAATGGTATTCGAGTTTTGGCAGACTCTGAAATTACTACATTTTTAAATGTATTTAAATAAACTTACAATATAAATGATTGCCTATGGTAGGAAAATATATATTTGAATACTCAAGGACTTGGAAGAAATCCTACCCTCTTTGCGATACCAGTTACCGATATAAAAATATTCGACCCTGCTCTTAAAGGGGAAAAAACCTGTCGCCGGGTTTCTCGGTAAATACCTTTAGCGCACAGTACTGGTGCCGGTTAATTTGCATGTTTCTATCGCTGTATCGGTCCAAGGGCGTGAACATGATGCTGAAAGGCCCAGCCCAGTGACTGAACAGCATGAACAGACTATGACGGAGGCTCTGCTGGGGAAAAATACTTCTTCTCTGGTGCACTGTGAACACAAAAGAGATGGGAAAGAGGTATTTCCATTTCCGTCTAACACGCACGACTGCTTATATGCTAGGGAGTATGCAATGCTGCGTAAAACTCAGCGGAAGTGTTCATCCTAACTCACCGAATCCGCACTCTGACAGTAGCATTTGCGTCTATGCAAACCACAGCAATGAGCTGCAGTCTCTCGCCAGCAGTGGGCGCACCAGGGCATGCTGGCACGCAGAAATTTCAGTGCAGTGTCAACCAGCGTGGAAGTCGGGGGTGGGGGGGGGTTCCTAACAGGCTAAGCCACGTCTTTACATTAGTGCTTCGGATTAGAAAATCTAGAGGGAAAATTAGTTTCCTCAAAATGGTATTATTTTTCTTCTAAAGCTTGAAGTAGGGTACCAGTATATGAAATGAATGTATGTAATTAAATGCTTAAATGACGCTGTTATAAAATACAACGTGCACTCTTTAAAGCCAACTGTTTGCATGTACTACTTAAAGTACAAAATAACTTCATTTTTCCCCCCTGGGAGCAAACATTTTTATTTATGGTGTATATAAAATACATACATACACACACATTTTTATGTCTTATGCTTATAAAAAACCTATGACTTTTTTTTTTAAACTCTGTCAGAGGGTGTGTCTGCACATCATAGAGAGACAGCAAGCTAGCCGGAGGGAAAGTATCCCCCGTGGGGCATGGTCTGGCTGCGATCCCTTCTCCTCCATTTCTCCCTCCTTTTAGGATTTTGGGGGGGTGCATGCACACGAGCCCAGTGTGATTTTCAAGTTGCAAGGTCTGGGACTCAAATGATGCAGTCAGCCATGTGGGATCCAGCCGCTTTCACCACCAGGCCACAGGCCGGCTTGGATTTAGGACCTTCTAAAACGTATTAGTCATCCTAGCGCCCGAACCAGGACCTGCCGCAGTACCTGTGGGCCTCTATTAAATGCACTGATAACGCCGTGCCCTTCCTGTTACCTGCTTACCTGTGTCTTCTCCCAGTACTCAAAAGTATCCTGGTACTTTCATTCCCAAATATCATTTGGAGCATTACCGTTCTTTACTGCCTCTTGAACAAGCATGTCTAAAAAGCGTATCCTATAAACTTAGGCACGATTTTGTCTCATTGTCCCGATTACTGTTTAAAATCTATGCTAGGTTGGTTTTTTATTTCTAATCATTGACATTAAATTGAAAGCAAAACTCTTCTACCCATGACGTATTTTTCTACTGTGTTCAGAAGTTGCTTCACCAACTTAGGTTATAAAACCTCAAGAGAAAAAAAAAAATAGTCCTTTAATACTTAATGTTCTTAAGAGACAGAAAATCATACCTGGAACGTTCTGGATGATATTCGCCACTAAGGCACTAAAATGGCATCGAATGTCCTTCAGCGTGTCAGAGTCTTTCTCATTCTCTGCTTCCAAGAGCTGTCTGGTTAAATCTACATACTCCAGGAGAGTGTTGTTGAGGAAATGTGTTTCACTATCAAGGCCACCACTTGCGCTGAAAACAGTGAAGAAAATAAATGATGAAAAAATTGTGAGTTTAAATTATAATTTAAATCAAAGTAAATTTCTAGTCATCGAAATCGGTAACACACATTAAGGTTTACATGGTTATGAGCATATGTAGTTTAATATACAAAAGTTAAATGCATATGGTTATGGTTTAAGAAAAAAAAAAAAAGATGGTGCTTCGTCATCAAAGAACTACTGCTGCAAATGATATTATGTAATCCCATACCTAATCTTAATCAGCTATTCTCAGTGCTACATGTCATTTCTCGCTATATACAGCTTTTGAATAAGGCGACCCAGGGTGAGGAAGACGAAGATGAGTGTGGGAAGGCAGAAAGAGGAAAGAAGAGTCTGACACATCCTTGAAGCTGCCACCTCTAATCACGGCCACATTTCCATCATCTTGAGTACCCACTGGGGACTTCTCAGCAGACACTGGAGCAAGTCCTGCTGGGGTGCAGAGGTCTAGACGGGTTCAAGGACACATGCAGTGGAGGGTGGGGTTTCACGCCTTCTTTCTAGACCTATGGAGGTGCCTCAAGAGCCTGCTACTAGGTGGGAACCAGCAGTTAGCGTAATGGCTATGTCGCTGGACTCCCACGTAGTTGACCGCGGTTCGCGTCCCGGACCCAGTGGCTTAAAACTCACACCGGGCGCGTGTGCGTGTGTGCCCAATATCCCGAGAGGAGAATGGAGGAGAAGGGATTGTGGAGTGGCCATCCCCCCTTGGGGGTGATTTCTCACTTTCTGTCTCTCTGTGTCTTTCTGGTGAGCGCACGTGCCCTATAGCAAAAACCTCTCCAGGAAAAAAAAAAAAAAAGAGCCTGCAACGAGATTCTCCTTGAGGCAAGGGCCCTGGGCGTGGAAAGTTGGCACCAGGAGGGGACACTGTCAGAGTCTGACGTCTCGGGCTCCTGTCTTGCTCCACCAGGTGTCAGGCATGTAACCAGGTTGACCTCAGTGTCTTCGGATACAAAGAGTAACCATATATGAAAGACCTACTAAATGCTATAGATACATGCTGTAGAAATGATCAGCTGTAATCAGTTACATTTATTTAGGTCAGGCTTCCTGGTTATATTTGAAAAAAATACTTTAGTATATTCAAAGAATCGGTCTAGGACCATCAATTTATTTTGAAGGAATGAATGCAGGACCTAATATTTTCTCTTTATTTCTCAAATTAATTTTCAAGAACTCTGGGTTATGACTATTAGTGAAGAGAAACTGATTTAGTGGATGATGACCTGCACCGGAAAAAATACTCATTCGTTTAACCAATACTCGTTTAGTACCTGCTGTGGGTTAAAGCCCACCGGATCCACCGGGTGAACGAGACAAAGAGCCCTGTGTGCTTGGCATCCGGAACTCATTTTCTTCCTTAACCAAGTAAATTAAAAAATCCGTAACAGCGATAGCTGCCTAATAATTTCTCTTAAAGTCAACCAAAACCAAAACACACCACTGTGTTTAAAAACCATTACTTCCCAATAGTGAGCAGTATAGCTTTTACAGCTGAAGTTAAAATATTCCAGCATTTTGCAGTTTCCCCAAATAGTACCAAAGATCCTCCAGTCACTGACATCACTTTAAGAACAACCAAAAACAGAAAAGATTCGAATATGCACGAGGTTGTTCACGTTTTGCATCAAGACTACAAGTTTCAATTTTATTTTTCCTAACTTCCACTATTTTATTTTTGTGGGTGACAGAAAAGAGAACGTTGTTTCTTTTTCTTTTCCTTTTCTTTTTTTTTTTTTTAAAGTGGTTTTTCACTTATTAGGGAAAAAAAGCAAATCAATGGTTTAAATTCTCTTCTCCTGACAGGGCCAGGAGGCTACACGGCCGGGACACTTGCTCAATTATTCACACCTATGTGTGTGTGTGTGTGTGTGTGTGTGTGTGTGTGTGTGTATGTGTGTGTGTGTGTGGGGGGGATGATCCAAGATCTCCTTTCCGTTAACTTTTTGGAATATGGTAGCATTCTTTATTTTTCTCCGTCAATGGTCAGGCGGCAACTACCCTCCTAAGGAGACAGTTCCTTCTCAACACACAGCTGATGGCATGTTTCTCGAGGGGCTGGTCTAAGTGCCGGGTGCCTACACTCCAGCCATCACTGCAGGCTTGATGGCTTTATTTGTGGATGGTGGAAAAGCCGGCTCTGAATTACGTTTACAGATTCCATCATTTTTCCCAGCAGGGTAGGTAACATTAGAATAAATTTGCAAACCTTATGCTGTTTAGCCTTTGAATGTATGCTTTCTTCAAGCCCCGAAGACACAGAACTTTAAAATGAGGCAAGAAAGAGGTAAATCTGTCAAGAAAATGCCGCTGCCCCCCTGCCTCAGTAACGACATGCCGCAAATATTAAACCAGGAGCGCCGCAGCGATTTCTGTCTCGGACAACCCAGGTTCGGGGTAGAGTCTTCCTTACACCTTTGGCCACTGGTCAAGAACCTTCACGGAGAGACGAGCACGGCTTTGCCTTTGTTGCTGCTGCAACGTGCTTCCCGATTTTACGTATTTCGGGGAGAAAACACGACTGCATTCCTCGATCGCCCGTCCTAGAACCGAAACCCGGTACCCACCTGTGACTTATGACGCCAGCGTCCGCCAGCAGCTCGAATATCCGCACCAGCTGGACCCGGAGGACGTCCCGGCGCCGGCGCCGTTTCATATTCTGCTCCGAGGACACAAAACGTCAGTTGGAGACTTTGCAGGAGCGGACAGAAACCTACTGGTGTGACTGAAAGAGCGATGCGAGCGTGTCCGAGGGAGTTCTAGGCCCGCCAAAACGGCGTCACAGGGCCTGCCAGCGGTGTGGTGGGAAAGGCGGCTGATCCCACACCCCCACCCGCATGGTTCAAGTCCTGAACACTGCAGCTTGCAAGACACACCAGGAGCATGTGCATGCCCCAAGTCCGGAGAGGAGAATGGAGGAGAAGGGATTGCAGCACGGCCGTCTCCCGGGGTGGGGGGGGTGACTTCTCACCGTCTCTCTCTGCCTCTCTCCAGCAAGCACACACCCAACAACAACAACAAAAGCTGCTTCGCTTGTGCAGTGTAGAGGGTGACCACTGAAGCAGCGGTGTGGGTGGTTAGACGTTAACAAGTGGCCACACTCCGTGCGGGAGGGAGATAAAATCCTACAGGGTTAGCTTCTTTTCAGCGATTCGTTCGTCTGAGAATTTTAGAAGAACTGAAGAGCTCAGTAAACTGTTGTCATTCAATGATATGGAATCCCTAAGAAACTCCCCAAATATGACAGACGGGCAGGGGAAACCATTGTGAAGGGGACTTAAGGCCCGAAGATTCTGCTTTGTCAAAGTTTTCCCACCTAACAATTCTGACATCCCCCTGAAAAAAAGATATAAATGAAAACAAAAGAATACATTTTTTTGCTCATCATGTTTTGCTGAACAAATAAGTACGTTTGTGACTAAGGCCGAATTCCTAAGGACTAGAAAAATACTTGCAGCATCTCAATTTGCTTCCATTTCTTTTTTTCTAATTATCCATTAATTGTATTTACTATTATTTTCATTTAAATTTGCTACAGGGCATGTGCGCTCAACAGAGAGAGAGAAAATGAGAAAGCATGTGTCAGGCCCGGATTCGAACTGTGGTTGGCCATGACAACCGTGCGGTATTAAGATACAGACCTCCGCTCACGTTCTAGTAGAGGTTATTTTATTATGATGTAATTTTCATGACAGCACAATAACAGGCATACTTATTAGTCTTTCATTCTCATATGTGTGATTCACTTTTTCACAAGCAGGGCAATTTGCTGACAATTCATTAAATTTCCTGTTTCTTTGAGCTCCTTCTAAAGTTTATAGAAATTCATTTTGAATGGCACGGCTTATTAACAGTCTTCGAAGACTTTAGCAAAATTTTAGTTGAACGACTCTCATTTTCTCTCCCTAGAAGACGGTGACTGTAGGGGCCAGCAGGCCCTGGACTCGTACAAGGCTGTGTTTTGAGTCCTGTTCGTGGCGGATTGCTTTCTCTGTCTCTCTCTCTGGGGAGCACATAGGCCCTACAGCAAATTAAAAAATAACTAATAATAAAGTTTAAGTAAATAAATCTTGAAAAAGAAGATGGTGAATCTCAAATTCTCACACTGTAGCTTGCATTGGAAGAAGAGGACCACGTGGTCTAATCCCATGGTGATTATGACAACATACGGCCCCTGAAACGGGGCGTACAGACACTGCTGCTTAATTCTCTCCCAAGCCTACTTTCTTTTTCTTTTCTTTTCCTTTTTTTTTTTGAGAGGTTTCTGCTATAGGGCGCGTGCGTTCACCAGAAAGACAGAGACAGAGAGACAGAAAGTGAGAAATCACCCCCCAGGGGGGATGGCCACACCGCAATCCCTTCTCCTCCATTCTCCTCTCGGGATCTTGGGCATGCACGCACACGCGCCCGGTGTGAGTTTAAGCCACCGGGTCCGGGACACGAACCGCGGTCGACTACGTGGGAGTCCAGCGACATAGCCATTACGCTAACTGCTGGTCCCCCAAGCCTACTTTCTTCTAAGGAGTCGGCTCACACTATAACCAAAGAGATCATTCTGAAACAAACGTCAGGGACAACGGGGGCTGTCACTGCTCTCTGTGCATAGAGACAGAAAGCGAGAAATCACCCCCCAGGGGGGATGGTCACACCGCAATCCCTTCTCCTCCATTCTCCTCTCAGGATCTTGGGCACGCACGCACACGTGCCCAGTGTGAGTTTTAAGCCACCGGGTCCGGGACACGAACCGCGGTCGACTACGTGGGAGTCCAGCGACATAGCCATTACGCTAACTGCTGGTCCCCCAAGCCTACTTTCTTCTAAGGAGTCGGCTCACACTATAACCAAAGAGATCATTCTGAAACAAACGTCAGGGACAACGGGGGCTGTCACTGCTCTCTGTGAGGCTGACCTAAGGCAGGTGAGAGGAATTACAGAGGCTGTCTCAAAGGGCCTAAATGAGGAGCTAAGGTCAGCAGCACCCTCCTGCCTCAGTGCCTCTCAGGACTGCACAGCCCTAATAGCCAGGATTCTCAAACACTGTTCGGTCACCTAAGGTGCTTTACGAAAACAGGTTTCTGGGCTCCACTCCAGCGATTCTCATTCAGTAGGCCCCAGGGCCTAATTTTAGTAAGCACTCCCAGGAACTCTCACTTATGGCAGGCATCTAGGTTCCGGGGCTGTACTGGACCAGGCCAGAACCAGGAGTCTTTCGTTAGTTCCCATGGCTTCTTTATTTTTTTTTAATTTTTTTATTTTTATTTTTTAAATAATTATCTAATTTTTATTTATTCATTCATTGATTTTAATTTGGCCAGAGAGAGAGACACAGAAAGCGAGAGAGAGGGAAAGTGAGAAAGCAAGCCACCAGGTCTGGGAATCAAACCGTGGTTGGCCATGTGGGAGTGTCCAGCACCTTAACCACCATGCCACCTGCTGGTCCTTCCCCCCACCCCACCCCCGCCGCGGCTTCTTTATTTCCATGACAGTCATTACTTTTCCCCAAAACATAATCATACAGAAGAATCTGCGATTTCCAAATTCTTTTGTGAGGTTTGCAAATACCATTCCCCTGCCTAGAATGCCTTCTCTTACGGTCCGTAGGGAACCTGCTTATGGTTCAAAACGCACCTCAACATCGGCACGTCAGGCCTAGGGCCTTCCTCCCTGTGCCGCCCATTACCCCTGGTCTGTGACTGTCTCCAGGTGCGTAACAAAGTGTGACAATGTGGCTCGCATACTCGTCTGCCCTGCACCTGGAGTTTCCCAACGTTGAGAACTGGGGCAGGTCTGTACACTCGGAATCGAGACCCAGAGTGCTCAGTCCCCAGGCCAAACCTGGCTCCCCGCGGCCTGTTACTCTAACTCAAGGTTACTGGAAAGCGGCCGCGCCCAGCTGTGTATGTCTCTACGATGCTCTCACACCGCAGTGGCAGCCTTCGGTAGCCACGACAGGAACGGGACGGCTGCGGAGCGGAAATTCTTTACCGTGCGGCCATTTATAGTAAATGCTTACCAGCTCCCACCCAGACCTTATTCCTTACTTTCCGCTACAGCAGCTTCTCATCGGTTCCACATAATGGCTTTCTGTGTGAGATCTCCCTGTGGGAACGGACTGGGAGGAAGAGTCTGCACAAAGTAAGTGTTGGAAAGCACTAAAGGGGCCAGCAGGAGGCATGGTGGTTAGGGTGCTGGTCTCCCATGGGGCCAGTGGTGGTTCAAGTCCTGAACCTAAACCTAACGGCTTGTTTTCTCACTTTCTCTCTGTCTCTCTCTGTCTCTCTCTCTCTGGTGAGTGCATGTGCCAGAAACAAATTGAAAAAACAGTAATAATGATAAATAAAATTTAAAAATAATTCATAAAAAAGAAAATACACTAAATAAATTCTCACTTCTTAATTTCTACCTCTGGTATAATATGTACACTCTAGCAAAAAAAAAACATTTTTACTAAATAAATATTTAATAAAATAAAACTACAGAAAACAAGTTACCTCTGGCCTTCTTTCAAGTGCTTCTTTAATTATGGGATGTAATTCTTCTATTAGTTCCCTAGGGAAAAAAGTGATACACATGCCTTCTATCAGTAGAGCTGAACAGATATAATCTAACACATGCAAATACATAAATGTTAACATAATGGTGTAGACTGACAAGTGCTGATTTTAACCATACACTTTAAAAACAGGTTTTATTGTCTTATTTTGACTATAAAATAATGTATATATATTACAGAACATTCGGAAAGCAGAAAAATGGTATAAGTCATTCATTTTAATTCATAAAGGTAAGTACCTTCGCTATTTTTGTTCAATAACTTTGCAACCCACAAACATTTTACATAGTCGAACCCCTAATCCATGTAAATGGCATCCTTTTCTTTCTTCCTTTTTTTTTTTTGCTATAGGGCATGTGTGCTCACCGGAAACAGAGAGAGAGAGAGAGAGAGAGAGAGAGAGAGAAACCAGCCCCTGGGGGTGGCCACACCACAGTTCCTTCTCTCCCATTCTCCTTTCAGAATGTGGACAACGCTCACGCATGTACCCCGCATGATTTTCAGGCTGCCTGGTCTGGGACTTGAACAGCACAGTTGGCCATGTAGGATCCAGCCACCTTATCCTCCACGCCACCTGCTAGCCCGGCATCCACTTTTCTTAAAACCTGCACAATTACTTTCTCATGCCATTAATTAATTAATTTGTAATATTCTATCATTGGGTGAGATACCATAATTTCCCTAACCATTTTCATTTCTTAATGAATCATTCAATTTTATCTAATTTTATGTAAATACCATATTAGCAGTGAACAACTCTGGACATCAATCATTATTCTTATTATTATCTTTTAGGTGTTTGCCATAGGGTGTGTGCACAGAGAGACACAGAGTGAGGGAAAGTGAGAAGTCATTCCCCGGGGGTATGGTCACACCAATCTCTTCTCCTTTCTTCTCCTCCTGGGATTTGAGTCATGCACACACATGAGCCTGGTATGATTTTCAAGCCACAGAGTCTGGGGACCCAAAAAGCAGTCGGCCATATGGGAGTCCTGCACCCGAACCACTATGCCATCTGCTGGCCCCTCAATCATTATTTTTATTTCTGATTATCACATTAGGATTTTACAAATTAAATTAAAGTCAAAATGGGGCCAGCAGGTGGCACAGTGATTAAGGCATTGGACTCCCACATGGCTGATCACAGGTGAGTCCCAGATCTGGCAGCTTGAAAACCATGTGGGGCATGTGTGTGTGCATGCCCAAAATCCCAAGAGGAAAGTGGAGGAGAAGGGACTGAGGCATGTCCACATCTCGGGGGTGATTTCTCACTTTCCCTCTCTTTGTCTCTCTCTGGTGAATACATGCACTCTATGGCAAAAACCGAAACCAAAAACATTAATAGGTCAAAAAGTATGAGTGTCATAAAAATGATAAGTTTCTCTTTGTTTATATTTGGAAAAAGGTACTCATGGCCTTCGGGCCCAACTCCTCGTGAAGTGAGCTTCCACACACTTTGAGTGTCTAGACAGGCGTGAGTGCACAGCAGCAAGACAACAGAGTACTTTTAGTGTCATAGAAAACCTCAACCCCCCGATGACTTGCTACAGAAAAGGAAAAACTCATCTTTATAAATCTGAATTCAGATCTCTTTCTGTGGATACAATGTTTGAAATCACAGTAGTAGAGGAAAATAGGCACAGAAGTACCTCAGAGTTAAGTGAAGCGTATGAGCTTACAGTAGCAGAAACCTCCAACAAATTAGTCAAATGTGTATATACCACCAAATGACTAAAACTCAGAGAGCAGAGGCGCAAAGTGAGCAGCAGGGAGAAACACGGAGCTATGGAGAGCGCGGCTCCTCTCCTCCCACACACCTCTGAATTCTTAGTTGAAATCCCACAGCTCAGCCCTGGTGCACCTATTCCCGAGAAACTGTCAGGCCTTTGTAATTCCCAGCTCCATTGACAAAAGTGCTGGTTGCCTTTTTTTTTTTTTTTTAGGGGGTGTTTGCTATAAGGCATGTGTGCTTGCCAGACAGACAGAGACAGAGAGATAGAAAGCCAGAAATCATCCCCCAGGGGGGATGGCCATGCCATAATCCCTTCTCCTCCGTTCTCCTCTTGGGATCTTGGGCACGCATGCACATGTGCCTGACGTGAGTTTTAAGCCACCAGGTCCAGGACTCGAACCGTGGTCGGCTATGTGGGAGTCTAGCGACATGGCCATTATGCTAACTGCTGATCCCAAAAGTGCAGGTTGCTTGATTAGGATCAGGGAAACGGAACTGCAGAGATATTGCAGGTCATTGCCGCTCGCACACCTCTGGCACTCAGCATTAACTCCAAGAACGTAGGGAGTAATGGATAATCCACCTGATGACCAGGAATCACCAGAGGCACGAGAAGTGTGGGAAACCAAGGAGATATCTCTCCCCCAAGAGGAAAGAACAGCCCTTCACCATCCACAGACAGTACAATGGAACTCAGAAATGTCAGAAAAGCATTTAAAATATGCACAGTGACAAAGCTGGCAGAGATGCAAGACAAGAGAGACAACAAACTCCAGAAGATGCAGGAGAAAAGAGACAATGAGTTCTAGGAGGTGAGGAAGTTCTTACATGATCTGAAAGAGGAAATACTATAAAAAAGAATCACATGGAACTGTTAGAGATGAAGGCTGTAATATAGGAAATCAAAACCTCCTTTGAAAGTATTTTTTTAAAAAAAGTATTAGATCATGCAGAAGATCGAATCTCAGATATAGAAGACAGAATATCTGATCTAGAAAAATACACCAAAAAGACTGAGAAAATAACCCAGAAATGCAAATAATATATGAGTAATACTACATACTATTAGACACCCAAACATCTGGATAATCAGTATCCCAGGTGAAGAAACTTAATACAATAAGGGCATGGATAATCTATTCCAAGAAATCCTGCAAGAAAACTTTCCAAACCTAGAGAGGCATTCAAATATCCAGACCCAAGAAATACAAAGGACTCCACATAGAATCAACCCAAGAAGATCTCCAAGGCACATCATAGCCAGATTGACCAAAACACAGAGAGACAAGATACTAAAATTGGCCAGATAGAAATGTCAAGTTACTTTCAAAGAATATCCCACCAGGCTAACATCACAGCTCTCATCGGAAACAATGCAAGGAAGGAAAGAATGGGAAAATATATTCAAAAGTTAAGAGAAAAACAATTTCAGCCAAGAATACTGTATCTGGCATGATTATGCTTCTTATGGGAAGAAAAGCCCGAAACATTCTCTGATAAACAAAACCTGAAAGAATTTACCAACACCAGACCAGCTCTTCGAGAAGTTCTGAAGGGAGTGCTCTATCAAGAAAACTAAAGACAGACAGAAATAAGAGAACAAAAATGAACAAGAAAAAGGCCAACTTAATGGTAGAGACAAGTTTGGAAATATCAATAATAATGCTGCATGTTAACTTTCAGGATTTAAACAGAAAGATCAGACCACAGTAACACTGCAAATTCAACAGAAGAGAGATTACATGAGACTGACCTGGTGAAGTAGAATTCTATGATTTTTGTCTAAAACATTACTGATTTTCTTCTAGGCTTTGTCTTCCAGATGTAAGGATTTTGGTTCTCTTGTGGGTTGTTGATAGGTTCAACAATTTGTTAAATTTTTTAAAAATTGAAACAAACTTTTTCTCCTTTCCTGACCCCTTTGCAATTGGAAAATATTTGTGAGCATTCTTATTTTGTGACAGAATGGTTATTTGCATGAATTCAATAATACAACAGAATCTGCTGCCTTGCATCAGAAATTGAATTTTTTTTTTGGAGAGGTTTTTGCTAGAGGGCACGAGCGCTCGCCAGAAAGATAGAGACAGAGAGACAGAAAGCAAGAAACCACCCCGCCCCCCCAGGGGGGATGGCCACACCACAATCCCTTTTCCTCCATTCTCCTCTTGGGATCTTGGGCACGCACACACATGCGCCTGGCGTGAGTTTAAGTCACCAGGTCTGGAACGCGAACTGCGGTCGACTACATGGGAATCCAGCAACATAGCCATTATGCTAACTGCTGATCCCAGAATTGAATTTCTATGGGGCTTTGTGCAAATAACAGACCAAATTGAGATTAACCTAATTATTTTACAGATAAGGTAGTTTATACCTGTCTTTAGTAAAAGGGGGAAATGGAGAGAAAAAAATGCTTCAGAAGAAAATTACAGTATTCTTGTCACTAGATTCTAGCTTTGTCCATATTTTTAGTTTAAGATATTTTGTGAGTCAACAAAATAGGGAAAAAAATTTAGTATAGAAGGGAGGGAGAGGAAAAGGGAAGGAAAACACAATTAAAAGTATACATAAGTGAATAAGAGAAAATGAGAAGCTATTTGCTGATGACAAGTTACAGAGTAATATCTTTGTCTTGATTGACACACATGGTATTTGCACTGGAAAAAGAAATGCCATATACTGTAATCATGTGTGATTAAATGTAAATAAACAAATAAAATAAATAGAGAAATTTTTAAAGATGCTCATTGTACAAGATTTGGGAATTTTTTATTTTTTTTTTAGAGAGAGATTTTTGCTATAAGGCATGGTGCACTTGCCAGAGAGATGGACAGAGACACAGAAAGTCAGGGAGATAGAAAGCAAGAAATCACCCCCCAGGGGGATGGCCACCCCATAGTCCCTTCTCCTTCATGAATTTTGGGCATGCACACATACATGTATGGTTTGAATTTTAAGCTGCCAGGTCCAGGACTTGAACTGTGGTCAACTATTTGGGACATAACCATTACAACATCTGCTGGTCCCTGCCAAAATTTTTAAAGCACCAAAATAAAATGTAATCCCATGTATTTGCCTCAAAAATTATGTCTATTTGTGGGAATCTGATGTGTTTTTTTTTTTTTTTTGCTATAGGACGCGTGCACTCGCCAGACAGACAGAGAGAGACAGAGAGACAGAAAGTGAGAAATCACCCCCCAGG